TGGGGCCACAGTATGTCTCCCAGATGGACTCAAACCTCAGTCTTCCAGGATCACATGATCCCCTGCCTCAGCTTCACAAGTAGCTAGAACTTTAGGGACCTATGTCGCCACACCCTGCACAAGCTCTTTTTTTTCTTTCAAACATCTCTGCCAAGCTCTGTGTCAGAGGGATACAAAAGATGAAAGAGATTCAGGCTGTGGAAGGGCCACTTTTTACCAGAGAAAACTTCACAGAAACAGAAAAGCAGACACCTGTGTGGCTAGCGTAGTGGGAAGCAAAGCGCAGGGAAATCCAAGCTTGAGACCACACGGTCCGGAAGCCCTTGTTAGAGGGCGCCGCAGATCAAAGTCTCCGTGTGGAAGCGCAGCGACTCGGCCTAAAGTGCCTTTTGGTTACAAATAATAGAAGACCCAAAGCAAACAGTCTTGAAAAACGAAGTTAATTTATTTTCTCATGTTAGTCAAAGTTCAAAGGAAGGGTGGCTTGCTATAGAAGTTAACATGCCTTCAGGGTGAGGTCCTAGTTGTCTGCCCTTCCATGGGCCAGCTTGTTCCTTAGGCTGACTTCCTCCGGAAAATAAAATGGCTGCCACAGAATGAGACCTCACACTGGTATCCCAAGCTGTCTGGGTGACTGAGCCTTCACGACAATGGTGGAGCTTCCCTCTGCTGGGCTGGCTCAAGTCACTGTAGGCAGGGAAATAGAGTACACTGCCCATCATTGCTTAGGTCACAGTTCTACCTGTGGAGCCGGGGTGGCATGAGGTATTGCAGCCAGTCCTTACTGTGACTCTCGGGATGCAGAGTGGCCTGGGCAGCTTGCTGAGAACTCATATGGGCACCATTGCTCGTGAGCACACAGCAGCCTCATGCCCAGCTGAAGAAGCTCCTGGTTTTCAGTGAGAACATTTCTGAATGCAGAAAGAGCCCAGCTTTGGACTGGCAAGATGACTGAGTGGGTAAAGGTGCTTTCTGCCAAACCTGCTAAATTGAGTTCTGTCCCAAGCTGCACATGGCACAGGGAAAGACCCACTCCCCTAAGTTGTCCTCTGACCTCCACATGGACCCCTTAGCATACACACACAGATAGATGACAGACAGACAGATAGATACAATTGTGAATTTTATTGAAAAAAAAAACTTTTGAAAATAAAGAGACCAAAATTAATCTTCAAGAAAGGAATTATGGGCTATCATCAAACCCTGACTTCCGGATGTGTGCACCCCAAGCCCCACTGTTCTTAGTGGCCCTTCCCTTGACTCAGAAGGGCAGTAGTTATGCTGAAGTAACAAGCAATCCCCAGACCTCATCACCTTAGAACAAGTCCCTGTGGGCCCAGGAGAAGCCACAGGGCAGTGATCCTCCAGGTGATGGCCTGAGGTGTGGCCCTGTGTCCTGTCACTGAGCTCTCAGGCCATACATTGAAATAGCGAGCCCAGAGTCCATCCCACTAGAGGATGGACTGCTGAAAGTCAACTGCTTCCTCATGGGAGCAGCAACATGCTTGTGTGTGTGTGTGTGTGTGTGTGTGTGTGTGTGTGTGTGTGTGTGTGTGTATCTGAATTTCAGTGGCCAAAGTAAAGCCCGCACTAATACACAACACCAAGGACCAGCAGGATGGTGAGTGCTGGATGCGGAGGGGAACCTGGGCATCTGAGGAAGTGCCTTCAGGAGCGCTTGCTACAGTGCAGACCTATGCCCTCACACAGGAGATCAGGTGGCTGCCTGCCTCCTTCACTTGAACCAGGCTTCCATGATTCTGCATGCCACACACAGGAACTGTTTCTAGAGGGGAGGAGACTGGCAATGGAAGATTAACCGCTCCCCGGGTTCCACACAGGGATCAGTATTTTCAATAATACTGTGTGAGTTTAACCTCAAAGTAAATGGTTAATTCATCTTATATCAACAGCACTGTGATTCATAATGTAAACTTGGGGGATTTTTGATGTTTCAGGCCCACATTCCTTTTAATTTGCCTCTGCATTCTTTTAAAGCCACAGTTGCTCACTTGATAAAATACAGCATGCAAATGCATGGGCTTCTGCCTGGAGGCGATTTAGCCTGGCTGGTTCAGTAGATGTCTTCTTTCAAGTGTATACTCTTTCTTAAATTATTTACTGGGTAAACACACTTTGCATTTTCAAAAGGGAGATTAAGACTGCTTGCTGCTGGCCTGGTGGAACACCATGGCCCCTTATGCAGAGTTAAGAGCAAGTTATTGGGGCTGCCCCCAGACCTCTTCCCTGGCTTGCTATCAGTGCTCCTTGACCTGGCTGGCTTTTCTGATTCCTCCCAAGTCTACAACTCTGCATCCCGATCTGTTGCCCAGAGCAATAGGGACTGCCCAGCAGCAATGGCCAGTGACTCTTCTCCAGGCTTCCTCATAGCTGGGGTCTGCCACTGCCAGCCTTTTCCTCTCTCCCTGCCGGCTCAATCCTCTCCACTCAGGTGGGTCATTTTCTGTCCCTAGAAAGACATAGTTGCCCAAGTCCTTTGCAGCCCAACGCTGGGTGATGGCCCGGCTTTACTCTGCCCAGCTCTTTCTACCATTCTGCTCCCTTCATCTCAAATGTCTGGCAGCCCTTTCTACAGAAGCACCCATGTCTTCCACCAGCACACCCCCAGGAGCCGGGGTGGTCAGCCCTTCCTCTAGCTTCTGGGAGAGGAGCCGCGGCTGCCCTGAGAGGGCACTGTGCTGGGGAGCTCCATCCTTAGGGGCTTGTTTCAACTTTCACCTTCATCCTTTTCCTCCCAATTGAATTTGCCCAGATTTCTCCTGCATCCTCTTTAGAATGAGAGGGTTACAGTTCCCGGAGGCCACAGTCTGTGGTTTCCTTCCTTGGAGAGTTAGTTCTCTGTCCTGCTCCCAAGTGCTGGTCACTACATGGTGTCCAAGCTTCAGAGGTGAATTCTCCATGTTCTTTACAGGCAGATGCCCCGGAGCAGCAGGGCGCTGGTGATAGGGGATACCAAGAAGGGGAAAGCCCAATTAAGAACGGCTACGATTTGGGGATGTCTGTGTGCTTATTTTATTACCGTGTTCCCAATTAAACCCCCATAATTAAGCTTCCCAAGTGTCCATCTTGGATGCTTGGGGCTCTCATCCCACAGAAAAGATAGTTGTCACCCACACTGTATAAAAGACACACTACCACGGGTTACCTATGGCAGAATTTGTTAAGTTTTCACTCTTTGGATCTGTTTCACTGCTGAGATTCAGTTTTGCTGATTTCCTTTTTAAATCTGACATGGGTGAGTGTGGTAAATAGAGATTTGAACAATGACTTCAGCATACAGAGCTGTGGGGACCATTTTGAAGACTTGCCTCCCTTCCAGAGAAAAGGAGAAAAACCAACTTGAGTTTTAAATGAAGCCTAAGTAGAACCACTCAGTGTTCCTAATTAGCTTCACTTTAATAAACTGTGACGCCCCGTTCTTATTTACTTATAGGGCGGGACAGAGAATCCTTCCTGCCTCCTGGGTAAATATGGCCTGTTAGGTCTGAATTAGCTGTCATCACAGAAGAATTAATGTCGGGCCCAGGCTTTCTAGTGGGACAAGAAGAAATAAACAAGACAGATCTTCCCCGAGCCTCGTGTGATAAATGAGGACAGAGCACACCATTCATCTCCTTCAAGAACAGTGGACATGGGTACTGAAGCAGTTTTGCGGAAGACATGTCAGCAAATGGCGATCATTTTGTAACCTGTCAGGGAGAGAGGGAGCCCGTCCTGTTAGGGGACACAGGGGAGTGGGCCACTCTAATGGGATGGCATCCATCCATCTGTGAAGAGGGAAGGGTGGGTGAGGAGTATACCACCAAAACTGCAACCTGATGTCATCCTCCATCCCAGCTGCAGGGACCCTGTGAAGGTTCCTCTGTAAAGATGCAAAGAACCGCTCCCTGCTCAAGTGGAGGCCTGACTCATCCTCACATCCCCCTCCCTGTGGAAGACTCTGTCCAGGGTCCCATGTGCATAGGAGGACACAGAACTCCACACGTGCCTCTGAGCAGGTGGGGTGGAATCGCTGCAGGCTTGAAGCCCGGTGGGCAGCCTGCTAGACGGCCAGCCTCTCTGGGTTTCTATTTCCGTGCGCTCTGTGAGAGCAGCTAGCGTGGGCGAGGCTGTTTGACCCAGGTTCCCTTTGAAAGGCTCAACAAAGCATTGTGGTGTGCGACCTCTTTTCTCCGAATGAGGTAACAAATTATGAAATCACTTCAGCGGAAGCACGCTGCAGGCATCCAGAGCGTGTGTCTCCTCAGCTTGTCTTCCTGAGGTCAGCATCTGCAGGGCTGGGCTGGACCGAGGGACCATCATCCCCTAGAGGGCCCACCCACAGCTGCTTGCCAGGCACCTTGAGGACTTCCTGTTCACTCTCATTTCCATCTTTTTACACCAGGGAGCATATGTAACATTTCCTCCTGGCTTGACGAAGCCATGAGCCACACTGACAGGTGACGGCTTCACAACCTAAGCTGCAAGTGTGACACTTGCTTCTTAATCCTCTCCTCTCCCTGCTAAGTCTCTCTCGCTTTTTCTGGGGTATTTTTGTTCAGGTAAGTACCTCACTGACATATATTTCTTTGGAGTCTTTTCCTTTCACGGGAAACACTGGAAAAAAAAAAAAAGAAGAAGAAGTGAGGCTTGTCTCACATTCTAAATTAAAAAGAGATGCTCACATGGGGCCCTTGATCACTTAAAGAGGCTACATGGTACCCAAATCCTGGCAAGCCCTTGATTCCCCTTAGCTTTTTGGTAAGCATTCTATGACTGTAAGCACTGTGGAGTTGTTCATAGAACTGGAAGCTGTGTGTGTGTGTGTGTGTGTGTGTGTGTGTGTGTGTGTGTGTGTGTGTGCGCGCGCGTGCGCGCGCGTGCGTGTGCGTGCATGCACACTCTACCTGCCAGGCTGTAGTTTTAGCCAATTTAGCTTGAGCAGTGTTTGTCAAAATGCTGTTCATTTATCCATGGGCATTTTCTTCTCTCTCCCGCAGAATCATCCAAAACCGCATCCTGCTCGTCATCCTGGGGATCATCGTGGTCATCACCATCCTGACGGCCATCACTTTCTTTGTCAAAGGACACTGATACATCTGCTCTCCCTTGATAAACAGTGATCTTGTCTTGTTCTGAGTAATTAAGACAAAATGGTCAGATGAATCATTCTTTTGTGCTGACAGGCCCCAGGTGACCCGTCGCTCCCTCCCCACTGTTCAGCTGGAGTGCAGAGAGTGTAAAAATATTTTCTGTTCCTGTCTGCATGTAGGTTGATTTCCTTTCTGAGGTTGGTCTTTGCCCGGATTTGTTGTTTTTTGTAGGTAAAGGTGAATGCTCATTTGCCTTTAGGTAACTTCATCTGCTGTCCAAAATAGCTTTGGTAACGCTCTCCTTGCCTTGTGGACATGCCTGGGGTCCTGGTTTGAGAGGGGACATGATGACTCAGTCACAGGAGCTTCTGTGTGTCACGTACCTCTCTTTACCAGAAAGGTTTTCTGTGATGTCCTTGGAGAAAATGCCAGAAAAATCAGAGGTCAGCCCCACCCTTCCCGGCATAATGAATAGAGCCATCCTGCCTAGGCAACTTTATTGCAAAGGAGAGGATTCACTGTCACTTGTACAGGAAATTGACTTAGCACTTCCCCTGGTTTTTTATTATGTGTGTGTGTGTGTATGTGTGTGTCTACATATATATGCAAGAAATATTTACTCACCTTCCCAAATGCCATACTCCCCAGAATTTGCTGGCAGTGTGAGAATTGGCACAATATTTAATTGAGGCCTCATCTTCCCTGACCTGGGTAAGCATGTCTGTGTCTTCTCCGTTTTAATCTGAGCTCAGTCAGCATTAGCCCTCGTATATACAAAAGGTCTGAGAAGGTTCTCTCCACACCCCTTCCAGCATGGGTATTCAGAGAGCATGAGCAGGACTCCTCTGCTGGTGTGAAGTTAGCACTGTGGTGGGTGATAAAAAAGAGAGAGTTCTCTAGGACAGTCCACTAGAAAAGCCTTGGTGGGAAGTGTTCGCCAGCCTCCTGTCCAACAGTGAGGAATCGCAGAGTGCCACAAAAGAACTGCTTGATTTTTACTAACAACTGTTAGCAAAACCTGCCTCTGTTCTCTGCAATCAAACCTCCGTCACACTTTGTGATTTTCTTCCCTTCCTTTCTGTCCGAGGTAACCAAGAATTGTGTTCAGAATGTGTTCATTTGTGATCAGGTTTAAAAGTTGCCCAAGCTGAGGTCATTTCCCCTCTAGTCATGAAGCAAAATGTGTTTTTCTTAAAACTTCATGGGCACTTACAGGTCTGTACTATCTTTTTTAAATATAATTGGAAGCTTTGCATTCTTGAAAAGCCAACCTGTTCCCGTCACAAAAAATGCTAACCACCTGTGTTCGTGGAGAAAGATCATGCTGTACTTGACCCCCCCACCACACACACACACACATGCACGCACATACACACACATACTCCGAAGAGAATCATTATAAGGTAGAGAGGAAATGCAAAATCTACCAGAGAAATTGTGTTTGTGGAAACTGGCCAAGGCCTGTATGTGTTCAGATAAATCATTTATTATTGTGTAAATAAAGGTGTAGTCTCTGTGTCCGAAGGGTGGGATTTTGGCTGAACGAAGTGGGACAGCAGAGAAGGGCCGGAAGCCGTGCTGACTCTTCTGCCAGCTAAAGGGACCAGCTCAGCGAGAACCTTTGCTGCTGGTAACTGAATTCTGGGCATCCTAAATGTATAAAAGAAACCACTAAAAAGCAAGAACACAAACCAGCAGCGAGCGTCCGCAATGCTGATGCTGGTGAAGTGGACCAGTGCCTCTGGTGGCCTCCTTGGAAATGGGGGTTCTCAGGTAAGGGTGTGCTGAGTTCTAAGCTGTCTCTCCCACCTGCCTCCATCTTCCACTCAGCTGCTTCTTCCCAAGGCCACCTCCAACAAGCAGGGTGGAGCTGGGCATTGGCACTTGCTGGCCCCTAAGTATTTCCCTGAAGCCTGTATTCTCGAAGAAGCGTATGAATGAGAAGGAAGGAGAGCATTTGCTACTCACCTCCCAATGGCTTTCTCTGCCCAGGTCTTTTTTGGCTGTTGCCAGTGATTTGGGGAGTGGAAATCTGTGAACATATAACCCTTGGACCCAGCAGCTCCATCCCTTCCCCTAGAGAGTGTCCACCTCACTCAGGCCTGGCCCACTGGCGGTGGGCACTGGCCTGAAAGTCCCCTGACCACCTTCTGTTCTCCTGATGCCGTGGGAAGAGCACAGCGCCCTGGGTCTGGGATAATACTCTCCCTCCCTCCCTCCCTCCCTCCCTCCCTCCCTCCCTCCCTCCCTCCCTTCCTCTCTCCCTCCCTCCCTCCCTCCCTCCTGTCCCACCAGGGAAGGAAAGGAGTATGCAAACCTGAAGCAGGTGTCTGTGTGGAAGGTTCTAGGTTCATATTATGTAGACTTCAGTTGTTGAATATTTGTGAAGTTGGGAGCCTTTGTTTAAGAGTGTGTGGGAGGTAAGGGGAGGGTGAAATGGCAGCATGGAGGAGGAAGAAGAGGAGGAAGCCCTCGCCATATAAAATTCATGCAGACTAAACAGTTTCTGGGACAGTATAAATAAAGCGGATGCAACCCCGCTCCAGAATCAAAAGCAATTTAATTAAAGTCTCTTAAGTTGTAAAGAGTTTTAAATGTTCCGTGTTGAAGGCGGATGCCTGCAGATGCAGTGGATCTGACGTCAGCGGCCAGGCCTGGGCTGTGAGGCCATTTGCTATTCTGTTTCAGGCAGGCTGGATTGTCTTATTTTGGAACCAGCTTGGTGGGGGGTTTGCTTTGCTGCTGCCTCTGAGCCCTGAGCTTCAAAGGCTGAAATTAATGGCGAACAAAATTGTGCGGCTCTGGCCGTCCCATGCGGGGCAAGCCCATTGAGGGTTATCATTAAGTAAAGAAATAAAGAGGGGAAAAAAGCCTGCCTGCTCCAAAACCTCATCAGATAATGACCTCAGTGATTGGGTTTTCATTACCAAACAGCATCCAGAGATTATCAACTCACGGAAGAAGGGAGGAGGAAAGAAAGGAAGAGGCACGCACCGCCTTTCTCCCTCTCTCTCTTTTTTTTTTTTTTTTTTTTTGCACATCTTTTCTTTAAAACTGTCAGATCATTTCAGTATTTCAAATCCGAGGAAAACAGCCTGCCTGCTGCTGTATTTGAAGTTGTAATGGTGTCAAAAAGTCACGACTGACTGACAGCCGTCAGTCCCAGAGGGGCTCATTAAATCATAAAAACTTGACAAGGAAATAATTGCGCATGGCCAGCGACTTGGCGCCTGTTTAGACGGTTTTATTGTCTTTCATTATCAGTCCCCGCCATTACGTTCATTAACAAATTGCATTAAACAACTGTTAAGGGCTAATGATTTGTTTATCGCTTTTTTTCTATTATTATTATTTAAACATTAGCTGTGTCATGTGGTACCCAGCAGCCTCTTGCCATCATCTGACTGAATATTTTTCCACTCCGAGCCCTGGGTACTGTTGGAATATGAAATAGATTATTCATTACTCCCCTCTTTGCCACTGATTTGGTTTCATGTAGTGTCTTCCACAGAGAAAGATGAAAACTTGTCAAAAATAGGTTATATCTTATTCGAAGGGGCAGCAATAGCAGCAGGTACAGGCAGACTTTAATATTTAATTAAGGTTGATGTTAGCCCCTTTCAATGACTTCAGCTGTAAGTTATATTTAAATGCGGAAGAGAAAAATAATTGTTCTTAATTTGCAACCTGTTCGGCCAAGACACTCTTCGGTGGACTTACTGGAAATTTAGAGGGGGAGTTTTTAAATAATGAAATTTTCCATCATAAATATTTATAGTCGTTTGTCTACGTAGCAGAGAATTAAGTACAAGTGACGATTTCCTCATCACTTTGGTGTGAACTGCTTAGCCTCTCCGGGCACTCCCAGCTTGGGAATAAAGGTGGCAAAATGTCTGGCGGAGAAGCCAGGGACTCTAGGTTGTCTGTGGCCCACACTGCTTTCAAAGGAACGGCTGAGTCCCCAGCCCAAGGGCGTTGCCTTCCCCTTCAGCTGAGTGAGTGGATGGGAGACGGTGGTCTGTGGTGAGGGTGGTCTGTGGTGAGGGTGGTCTGTGGTGAGGGCAAGCAGGGAAGGGTTAAAGAAAGCTGCGTGAGCCTGGATGGCTGGCACGGGAGGTGTGCTGAGGTGTCTTGGCCTCTGTGCAGTCAACTGGAGCTCGTTACAAGCCACGATTCCCTAATGGGTGACAGGAGCAGCCCTTCCTGTAACTTGCCATTGATGGGCTTTTCCATGCTGCAACCTCAAGGGACCAGAGACGACAGAGCCCTATCATGGTCACCTGAGATCAGAAGTCCGTGGGTTCCTTCTGCCATGGCCCCTTGTTGTATCTGATCACCATTTTGTTTAGTTTGTGTAACTGGAAACCACAGCATCAGGGCTGGGTACCTTTTCTCCATCCTGTTCCTAGTTCCCCTCTCCCGTCCTAACAGAGGCAGATCCCAGATGGTCCTGCAGGAGTCATGAGCCAGCCAAGAGGCGTAAGATCTTGTTTTGAGTCTCCTTAATCACTGTGATGTAGAAATAGTGTCCACACCTGGGTCTGGAGGGCCTCAGGGCTCTAGTGACTAGAGTCTAGTCCACATTAGTCACATGACAACTCACCTCCCTTAGAGTGACCTCCACACCCCAGCAGAAGACAAACTTGAACCATTTTTCCAGTGGGAAGGAAGATCATGTGGCAAGCCACCCCTGCTGAGACAAGAAACTGTCCTCTATCTTGCCCTCACCCAATGCTGTGACCCGCTGACTTCAAACCTGACCCAAAGCTTAAATAAACACTCTTGTTTCTGTCCCTCGTCTGTGATGCATCCGGCCCAGCCTAGTGGCATCTGCCAGTCTGTCCACATAGTGATCCGTGGGCCAAGGAGAGTCGGTGAACAGCTCCATGAAGATCTTGGAGCCAATAGGCACCACACCAAGATGTTCACAGGTGTCCAGTAGCATCCAGCCCACACAGAAAATGATTGTGTGACTGGAGCCCAGGCAGCCAGGGGCACCCTTCCCACCATGGAGCCTTAGGATTCCAGTCAGGGCTTGCTTACCGGAGGCAAGTGGCAAAAGCAGGATGGGAATGTCATCCCAGACAAGAGCAAGAGAGATCCCGGCAGGTAGCATCCTGAGCCCATCGTGCCCTTCCTCAGGAGGAGCCAGTGAAGGGAAAATGGGCCCGTGCCCCGCTCACCCGTGCCCTTTTCTGAAATGCCTCCTTGTGCCACAAACGGGGGTGGGGGGCAATCCAGGTGAGGGGAACCGGCTACAGGCAGAGCGCAGGCCTGTGATTCTGCAAACTCCCAACCCCCGCCCCCTTTTCATCCAAACAAGGCCCTTTGGCATGAATAATAGCTAGGGAGGCCAGAAAGGAGCGAAGCTGCCTTCCACCAGTATTGATCTGCAGCCTGCGCATCCACCAAGGGCTGCCTGGGCTTTTCCTGCGGGCAGGACCATACCGGGCCGCCGCTGCAGCGTCGCTCCTCCGGGGGCCTCCCCCAGGTGTGTTCAGAAGGAGGCCGGGCCAGGAAGGTGGGGCGCAGGGAGCCCAGGCGCAGCTTCGATGCCCCAAAGTTGTTGTTTTCAACTTATTTTGCCACAAATGCCCTTGTTAGAGGAAAACAGATTTTTTTTTTCCATGATGAGCCTCCACAGAGTTGAGAATGAACACATCCTCAGGCTCCAGCTTCTCTCCACACGGTTCTGCCAAGGGCCCAAGCCACAGGGGTGTCCTCGGCCGACTGAAGAAGGCCCTACATTGGGTTAAGCACCTGGCATACCTTACTGAGTCTCTCTGGGGACCCTCTCTGCCTTCCCCTGCCCCAGCCCCACCCCCACCCCGCTATATCTCAAGAACGTTCCAAGACTTGCCCGTGGAGGGACACACTACTGTGAGGTCAGCTAGGCACTTGTACAGGAACACTCAAATCCCACCACTGCACTCTTGGCTTCTGACTTAGGATGCTGGGGAAAGCAGATTCGGCCTTCCTAAGTGGCCTCAGGTGCACCAGTGTGGTGATATATTATGTCCCCCAATATATTGTGCATCCTAATAAACTTATCTGGGGTCAGAGAACAGAACAGCCACTAGATAGACATAGAGGCCAGAAAATGGTGGCACTCACGCCTTTAATCCTATCACTTGGGAGGCAGAGATCCATCCCGATCTCTGTGAGTTCAAAGCCACACTGGAAACAGCCAGGCATGGTGACCCACGCCTTTAATCCCAGGAAGTGATGGCAGGAAGCAGAAAGGTTAATATAAGGCGTGAAAACCAGGAACTAGGGCTGGTTAAGCTTTTAGGCTTTTAGCAGCAGTTCAGCTGAGATCAATTCAGATGAGGACACAGAGGCTTCCAGCTTGAGGAAACAGGATCAGCTAAGGAATTGGCGAGGCGAGGTAACTGTGGCTTATTCTGTTTCTCTGATCATTTAGCGTTCACCCCAAAACTGGCTCAGGTTTGATTTTATTAATAAGACCTTTTAAGATTCGTGCTACACACCAGCCACATATATCTCTGGTAGAGGTG